CAAGGACGCCATCCTGATTGAGATTCCGCAAACTCTTCTCCACGAGTGCTTGGGGCCACCTGTAAATGGGCGAGTCCCGTGTGGTTGTCTGGATTGTGACCCACCGAAGAAGACGATTGCGCACATTTTCACGAGCACCGCTGCGTTCAATGAAATCGAACCCAAAGTCCCACTCTTCCAGAGAGCGCTCCTGCTCTGGTTTCCCCTCTTCTTCCGTGCGAAGGACGTGATGCCGACACTGAAAACCACCTAGTAGTTCAAAGAGGAAATGCAAACTCTTTTTGACGGTGATTACATTTCCAGACCAGTCGATGGCATAAGGTTTACCATGACACAGCTCACGAACTTGCTCGACGGGGGTCTTCTTGTCTCAGGTTGATAATCTTGACAACAGTGAACTTTCCGGTGTCTTGTGGGATTACGGCCAAGTCGATGCGAAAAGGGGTGCCCAAGGCTTTCGCTAAACCATAGGGCTTTGGCAAACTCTTGAAGGACTGACTCTGCAAAACCTGCTTGATCTCGGTTGAAGGAAAGCTAGGCACATCGAGGATCACATCGATGAAGCATTTGATGAACTCGCTGTTCGGCAAGTCTAGCAAGGGCAGGTCGAGGGTGGTGAGAGGGCCCGCTGTGGACTCGACAATGTTGTGCAAGTCGATGTTGTACAGCTTCAGCTTCGCAACGGCGTTGCGAACATCAGCAAGAGCAACATTTCCGGATTCCCACGACATGATGAAAGGGGGACAATGACGGTTTGTCGCTTGAGGCTTGAAAGACTACGACATGCGACATAACAGATAATGCACGGTGTAGAAGAAGCAGAACCTATGCGCATGCTAGTCACTCTGCACGTGCTGCCAGAGTGAGAGGCGTCAGTCCATGGACATATAAGTACAGTTGTGGCAACCGAACAATCAAAGCAGAAGCAACAGTAGTAGACATCAGGTTAGTTCATCGCTGGGGTTCCTCCTCCTCAGTCGCATCTGTTGCCCGAATGAAAACGGACGGAGAGAGAACAGCGCTAGACAACGATCGCTTCGTAGAGCAATACAGTGTATATGCCAACAGACACAATTCCATGGAAATCCAAAAACCCAAAATCCAATATTTCGCAGGAGATGCTGGGGTGAAGTTTGGGTTTTTGGATTTTTGGATTTTTGGATTTTTGGATTCGCTGGAAAATTCAAAAATCCAAAAATCCAAAAAACCAAAAAACCAAAAAAAACAAGAAACCAAACAACCCAAAAATCCAAAACTCACCCCGGTATCTCCTCCGAAATACTGGATTTTTGGAATTTTGGATTTTGCAGGAATTGTGCTAGGCCTTCTCACCACCTGAACAAGGAGGACAGACTGTATAATTAATGACCCGCTCGCGCGTACGATCTGCTCATGATGCTACAAAGGTAAACGCCGCACGAGGATAGGCTCATGATGCTATAAAGGCGGATGCTCCTTAAGCCTGCAAAACCCGAGACCCTGAAAACCAGGAGGCTGGTCGTGGTTGCAGTCGAGATACCTGACAAGGAAAAGGTAGGTACATGGGGGGGTACCATATATATATATATATATATATATATATATATTCAATTCGAAATGCGGAAGAACTGCAGAGTTCGCACTACCTGTTTTCCATACTCGCACTCACTGCTGCTCATACTCCGAGACGTCGGTACACTCCGGGATAGTGCTTTGGTAAAAACCTCGAGGTACAGAGAGGGCCGCAAAGGTTCCCACACACACCCAACTCCCTGGAAGGGAAAACGCCCGTCCAGGATAAGGGCCCCTCCCTCACCTCGAAGTCAGTCGCGAAACTCGCGTAACCCCAAAAATAACTGTGCTACTCCACCGGAGGCCGAGTCCAATCAGGGCGGCTGCCTGCCGTTTTGGATCACAGTTGAGCCAAAGTGGCAGCCAGCAGGAAGTTTAGAATGATGCATGTGCTCTCAAGCCTGCCAAACTCAACGACATGCACACATGCCAACTTGAACTGTGGAAGAAGTGCAGAGTTCGCACTACCTGTTTTCCATACTCGCACTCATTGCTTCTCATACTCCGAGACGTTGAAGATAACCCGGAACACTCCGGGACAGTGCTTTGGTAAAAATCTCGAGGTACACATATGGTCGCAAAGGTTCCCACCTTTCAATACCCAACTCCCCGGAAGGGAAAACACCCAATGCACTGGAAACCCCTAAGCACTACTTCAAGGGAAATAGAAAAGACACGCAGCACAGCGAGGAATGGGACATCCAAAAGCTGGAATGGAAAACAGGCAACATGGCAAGGGAAGCCGCGCTGATGGATCCAAGGATCGTGGACTCCGATGCGGCTGACGGCGTCAGCCCAATTCGTCTTGGACGGTATATACTCGAAGAAGAAAAAAGCTCGAACAGCAAACATGGCCACATGAGCTGAGCCAAGCGCTCCAAGTCGGGCGAACTGGACCGACCACGGATTGGCGACATCAATGCCTCGACATTATGGAAATACCAGAAGCCGCGATGCCCGCACAACGCAATACAAGACCATTGCCAGTTCGAGCTGGCCAATCCTCTGATCACCGGGGTGAAGGCCGCATGAACGGGGCCCATTAAGGCAACCAAGCTCTCCCGCGCCTCCCGAGGATCCAGCCACACCAGTGGAAACCACCCGAGCCCTGGCCGGGAATGTCTTCAGCTGCGTTACTCGCAACTACCAAGCGAGGGCACGGTCGAGGAAGCGCATCAAACTCATGCTCAGGGCGAACGGCGAGGACTGCCTTGATCAACTCCCCTCATCGGCTCGCTCGCGTATGGCCCGCAAGCCACCCGCCCCGCCACGCTCGCACGCCTCTGCAACAGGGCAGCCGAAACACACATTCATTGCAGCAAAGGACTCTTAGGCGCAGCCTCTCGATGACGACCAGTCTGTCATATGAGAGTTGTGGAAGTAGAGAAAGACCAAGCAAGAATGCCACCAAGCCACGACATAGCACAAAGAAGCGTGCCTATCCATAGGGCAGTGCCGGTAAGCCTCCGGCCAATCCTCAGCACTACCCTCGATGGCGTCACCTGCCGAGGCCTGGCACAGGCTTTCCGAATCCAGGCAAGAAAGCAATGCTGCAGGGTGCTACGCAGGTCGGAGGGGCGAACAGAGAAGGAGCTTATTCGGGTCAGAGCTGAGGGCTGACAGCCCACCCGAAGCGGCGCTGTCACGGGGCGGCTGTTTGCCGCTGCTCCGGGTGATGACCAGCGTGACATCGGCCTCTTTGTGCTGCTGTGCTCGTTGGGTCGTGGCGTGACCCGACACTCCCGAATCATTTCCTTTGCGGTGTATATGGCAGCCGTGGGTACGGCCCTGTTCCCTGAGCAGCCCTCTTGGGCCACACGCTTTCCTGCTCGAACAAAGTCTCAAGGATGCCAGAGTGGCTTGTGCCCCCACCCGATGCGCTATTCCGAGTTGCTCTGAGCGGCCAAGGGCACAGCGCAACGGAGGTCAAGGTCGAGGGCCAAGGTCTCGGGTAGCATGCCAACTCACGCGCAAGCTCGGAATGCTCGTCCTGGTGGAGCCCAAACGGCAAAACTGGCGGCAGGGCCGCTCGGTTGCCATGGCACCCACATGCTAATTTCAGCAGTCCTCTGCCAATGGGCTTGCTGGCTGCTAACCAACTGTGGGGCGAGCCGCCCCACCAGGCCTCAGGAAGTCGGAGAACGGAAGCGCATTGATCAGATCCTCCACCATAGGAAAGCAGAAGCCTTGCAGCAGGTCCGGTGGAAAGAAAGAGCAGGAGGCAGAGACCAGTGCGTCTTGATGCAGGTATCGGATAACAGCACCGACCGGCGTAGGCAATATGTTCGCCGCTGCGGCCACCACCACGATTGCTCCAGAACTTCGCTTTGCGCGGACGACCTGCTGCGTCAGACACTAGGTCCGCCAACACGTGGCCCTTGCATGCACGCGACAGCAGACAGTCACACGCAAGGATTTTTCCTTCAAGCGAGCGCAGCTCAGTTCCGAAGCTGGCCAGAACATGCTCCACATAGAGCGGAAGCCACTCGTCTCCGTGGGCAGATGCCAGATCCCAGGTCTAAACGCTCGACAGACAGCTGCTCCGGGCCATCATGATGATAGGCAGTCCAGGCTTGAGCCGGTGCAGCCGCAGCAACCCCCCCGGGACTCCTTGGCACCTGCGGCAGCCAACCTCCACGCACGGGACTGTCCGAATAGCTCCGACACCCGGCGGCACTCCAGCACAGACCCCCATAGAAGAGCCGCCTCACACGACTCGCCTCCAACTCACACAGGCGGGCTCTGAACTCCACGAGGGCTTCTGTATGCAGTACCTGAGCATAGGTATGGACCGCCAACCGAGAAACTGCATAGAACATAATAGCAGGTCGCTCCTGCACAAATGGGTCGCTCCCACACAATAAGCGGGGGTCAATTCCACGTCCAAAACCAACTGCCTGCCGTTTTGGATCACACTTAAGCCAAAATAGCAGCCAGCAGCAAGTTTAGCATGGAGCATGTGCACCCAAGCATGCCAAACGCAACGCATGTACATATACATGCAATGTGTCGTGCTGGGGCAGGCACACCTTGGTCAGACTCCTGCCAATGAAAACGCCTGATCTGAAATTTGCGAATTCCTATAACCTTCGCTGTACTTGTTGCTGATCCTGGCATTCAGGATATGGCACAGGAACACCATTCAGTGAGTGTGTAGATTGTTGTTCATGGTTGCTGCAACCTGGGTTACAAAAGCCTCATGAGATTTGATGCAGTGAGCGCTTTAGGCTCTAGACTACAGCTCTCGGTTTGCATCTGTGGGGTGCGAAATGCCTGAAACACGACGTATACACTGTTAATGAACTGACCCAAAGTGGGCGCAGAGGTTTGGTTCCATCGCTACTTTCAATAACCAATGAGAAGACAGTGTCTTCTGGCACAGGCTGACGAAGTAAGGCCAATGAGAAGACAGTGTCTTCTGGCACAGGCTGACGAAGTAAGGCACAGGCGCACCAACAGTCGAGAGACAAGAGCCCGCTTTTGATCCTCTAAGAACTTGAATCTCATGACCTGGCTGTCACACTTGCAAGGACTGAGCGTCAAGACATTTCAGCAGAACGTCTTGCGATCGGTCGGAACATCGGCAACCCCACTGCTGACGCGGTCGCCAAATCAAGTCGGAGGTATGCTTTGTCCAGTATTTGTTCGGGAGCACGGCGCGAATACTTTCCCAAGTACAGAGGCGGATCTAGGACCACCGCGGAACTGCTTTCCCCAAAATACTGGTGCGTTTCGTAGGCGCTAGACTTATGCTTCACCACCGTAGCTTGCGAGACCCGGAATTGTTTCCCCCAACTACTGCTGCGATTTGAAGCTGTCAAGCGTATTATTTGCACTGGACGAGGAGACCGACGGGAGACGCCTAGCACATAAATGCTCCGTAAACAATAAGACGTGAACGAAAACTATGTGCCGCACTACAGCAGGGGACGCGCATCGCGAGACATCCTGTGTAAAATTCAAGGACGCACGGACCGGATTTGCAGCATTTGTTGCAAATAATAGTCCGGGGGGAGCTTCTTTTCAAGGGCGCACGGCTCAATTAATCAACACTCTCTTTACACTTCATGGAAGAACCCCATAGTGCGGTCACACTCTTTGGGTGAAATACTAAAACTATGACAGCAAAATTCATACCTTACTCCTAGTCATGTGAATACGAATATGGTAATAGTCAACAAAAGAAAAGGCAACAGTATTGGTAATTGCAATAGTAATACTAATGGCGATAGCAACAAAAACGAAATTGCACTAGTAACAACAATCGCAAAATTTGTAACAGCACAAAAGTAGCAATAATCATCCAAGACTAATAGTAGCAACAGTAATAGCAATAATAATTACAATAACGGCAATAGCAGTGGCAATAGCAAAACCAACTAAGATAATACCAATGATACTACTTACTAGTAACATTAGCAATACTGGGAATGATAAACAAACATGAGTATCACGACTTGTAGTACTAGTAGTAACAGCAACAAGAACAGCTACAGTGATCGTGATGGGCACAATATTAGTAACAGCAGTAGCAGTTAACAACCATAGTAGCAATAGTAAATGTAGTTGCTTTGCTTTGCATTGCGTTGTGTGTTGCTTTGCTTTGCTTAGTTGCTTGATTGCTTTGATATGTTTTTTGCCTGCTCGCTCGCTCGCTCTTTTCCTTGCAAGTTGAATGGAACAACCTTTCGAACATAGCGGAAAAAACTTCCCAAAACATCCAAAAAATAGGGACATCACGTGCGCCCAACCCGAAAAGAAGAACCACGGGCATCGGGCAGGCAGAGAAGCATGCCAGAGCATCGGCTTTTCTGTCTGTCTCTTCCTTGATGAGGTGCAGCAAAAATTGAAACTCTTTGCCATCCTTAGAAGGCGGAGGCTGCAGGCTTTGGAAGGAGCTTTCGACTGTGGTCCAAGCGGATCCACCCTCGGGGTGCCAGGCATCAATGTTGACAGCCTGACGTCGACGCAGATATGTCGAGACCTTGCATTTGTCTCCCGTGCTGCTCGGGCCAAAACCCAGCGATGGCGGTATCCGGAGCTTGGTCCAACTATTTCTCGATGCTTGATGGGAAGGCTCAAGGCCTTGATGAATAGAGGCGAGGCTTGGGCAGCTCCCGGGCACTCAAAGTTCATGTACAACTCAGTTCAAGGCCATCTTCCCACTATTCGATGGTGTCACATCTGACTCGTCCTGCCGAATGCAGTAGAAACCAGGCTGTTCGCAGAAATGGCGTTCAGTGACACGCCTGTCGCCGCAGCAACTCTTTTCCACTGATCCGCACGCTCACCCAACCCTCCTGGGTCCAGACACCAGAGGAAGAAAAGACACCGAGGCCAAACGACTGGGCCAGAGACCTCGGGGCCGGTACCAGTGATTCGGCGGAAATGAAGACGCTCTCCAGATGTGTGCAGTTCCTCAACCTCCAGGGCTGTGACATGGTGTGCTGTTCAATCCGTAATGACGTTGCATGAACGATGAGTCATTTTCCGCGACCCATCAAACAAACCCACCCACCATCCTGCAAGCAAGCAAGTGTCGAGCATCGAAAAATCAATCTATCATCTTCTTATTCTGGGTGCCTTTCAGACGAAACCAGACGTGGGCAAATCGACCTTTACAGGTCGACCCACCAGCAATCTAGAAGCAGTCCCACGACCAGGAAACGGTATCAATCAAACGGCAACCAGCCGTTCGGCCATCAGCAGAAAACCCGAACATGACCAGGGAAGCGGTACCTGGGAAAAGCTACACATTGCCTACACGAGACCTAACAGAGATGGAATATAGTTTTCAGCTTTCAGGTTCCATCAAGATTGTTTCTACGACTCTGGCCCCCAGGCATCAACGCACTCAAGAGCGAAGCGCCCACAGCCACACTACAGCCAGGTTTTGCAGTGTTGACGCTGCCAAGTGAAACGTCGTAGCACATTGTTCACTACTGCGTTCACGAACATGCAAGCAAATGCACCAGCCCCCACTTGTCATCTCCTGGAGACTTCACAGTTTGTCTTCGCATGTGCTTCTTGTTGCTAGCTCTTTCGTCTTCCGACCGTAGTTGTTCACTCCCTGTCATGTCTGGACGCAGTCTTCTTCCTAGCACGCCGTATCGCATTCACGCTCACCCAGACATCAGCCAACTTCATCCGTGCTTGGCAATGCTACCGAGAAACCAACCGATGGCGACTGGATGATGATGGCTGACGTGCATGTACAGTAGCATTTCAGGACGTTCACGTCAGGATTGTTTCTTGACGCTACAAGATTAGCAGAGCTTTTATTCTCAAGCCCAGAATTCAGCGGCATCGACTCGGTCAGTCGTTTTTTTCCAAAGACAACTGAGGACTGAACACCAACGGTTACCGGCGCCTGCCCTCTTTAGGGCAACATCTTCCATTGCTGATCATTGATTGCTGTATTGGGATGCTACGAGTAGCTCACGGCGCAGGTACCCTTGCGAGTCGGTCAGGCTACTTCCGCTTTGCAGTCCTCGGCACCGGTGGAAAGCCGGTCGGGCAGAGCGGCCGAAGCCAGTTCCTGCAGCTGTGGGTGGCCAGACACGCCCAAACCTCGGACAGTGACCCACCAGACAGGGCGGCCTGTCCACGACGAACCAAGATACCGCCTTTCTCAGCACCTCCGACTACCTGAGCCAATGTGAGCCCAAAGCAAAAATCAAATGGCATAAATAGGCAGTCATTCCATGCACCACGCTCGCTGGGGAATCTGCTGTCCATCTTGGTGCCATCGACAGGATCTGTGGCAAAGCAGGGCGAGCTCGACTGTCAACCCTCTGCTGCTCTCGATGTGTAACGGACTGAGGCCGGCACCTTGGAAAAACGAAGCGAATATGGGAATACCCAGGATGACAAAAGAAGCGGAATGGGCAAGTTACCACCCTTGGTTTCGGTGGCCAGGTGTCGACAGTTCCCAGGAAGCCTTGAAAACTTGAGCCAAAGCAGCAACAGCTTGGAGCTGCAGGTGACAACACTAGACCAGCATGCGACAGCTGCATTAGAGCTGGCATCACAGTTTCGGCATGTTTGTGGTCTTGGTTCAGAGACTTGAGGCATCGAGCTTTGTGCGTGTAGTATCTGACAGTGGTAGGCTTTACGAAATCCTGCTGAGTTATCTTGCAAGGGTGCCCACTGCCTCTTAAGTCAACCTAGCCTTTGTCACCGGCCCATCAGCGTTCAAACAAGCCAATTTTGCTCCGCGGGGGCACTGCTGCCTGCTCTGCACCAATGCTCCGCGGCAAACCTGAGACAAGGTGTGAACAGTGGAACTCATGGAGCCTGTCAAGGCTCCTAAGGGCTCATGCACGTGTGAAATCGGCAAGGCGCCAGGCTCGCTCATGGATCGAGAGTCGGCTACTGAGAGTGGATGTGAGAGATGTTTTGCAAACAGCTTTTGGGAAGCAAAAAACTCATTGAAAAGACTGTCGAAGAACGCTGGCACGGAGTAGTTGCGCTGCGACGGTGCAGGGTTGGATTTCGGATTTGCCACCCAACATCTCGCAAGCGCCGCCACCTGCATACCTAACTGTAACGCGAGGCAAGCCGCCCAGTCCAGCTGTGAGAAGAGCATTTAGCCCTGGCCACAGCCACCACATGCGCTTGTGCCCCGTTCCTTCCTGAGCTGGAGGCAGTGTTCACCACATGGCTCTCTGACGCAGCCGTGTCCAAACGAACTTCGCATACACAGCTTGCTGGCAAAACTCGGCTGGAGCAGGCCTGTACCTCCTGCCGGCCGCTGCGGGCGTGCTCCTTGCTTCTCGCTCTTCCTGAAAGATCTGAAAGATCAGAACTCTCCACGTGTCCGACACGAGAAATGAAGTGCTGGAAAGGGTCGCTATCAGCTCTGTTGACATCATCTGGAAAGCAGCCTCAGTCCATAGTCATCATTACTAAACAAACCTCTCACGGTCGCAGCTGAGAATCCTCCACGTTTGTCGCGTCTTTGGCAGAGCACTCAATGAACGCAATGCCCAGATCCTGTGCTGCAAGCTCCAACGTCACGCCTACCCTGCCTAGCATCTGAAGCAACAGAGGCTGCATGTAGAATGTAGAATGTAGAGTGTGATTCCGCCTAAAGCACCGCTTGAACAGTCTGAGGGCCGCTCTTCTGCTTTCTTCTTTGCCTCCTCGGTGGAGACCTGCCTTTCTGCAGTCATATCGCACTTGTTGCCGATGAGGATCTTGCAGGTGTTCTCGTTGACATAACCTTGCCAGAAACACCCAACACATGGCCAAATGGCATGCGCAGGTGTGCAACCGAGAGGCGGTTTACCTCGTTCAACCACTCATCAACATGATTGAACGATTCCCGGTCACAAATGTCGTAAACAAGGATAATTCCGTCCTGACTCAAGAGAAAAGCTCGAGACTGTTGTGTGACGCATGCTGTCGGTATCACCTGATGCCTGAGCTCAAGGCAGCACCTCGATAGTACCTTGTTTGGAAAATGGTGTGGACAAGCGTCCATACACAGTTGAGCATGTTTCGAACTGCACGCGACACGCTTAAACGAGCGGGCACCAACTTCCCCTGTGCTACAAACAAATACACCTCATCAAAAAGTTATGCGAGAATGCTTAAGCAAACTCTTGCTCTTGACTCCTGGGCACCTGCAAAAGTCTGCGAACAAACTGTGCACAAATCTGCATAAGGCAAGAACAGACGTCAGTAGTATCTCGAAAGCACTTGAAGTCAAATTACTCGATTGGGAATACGGGAGTTAGATTAGAGCCTCGTGCAAGCATGTGTAGGCTCTATGAAAGAAGGTAAACTGACGGAAGATAGTTGAATACAGCAAACCAATCTGGGTGGACAGGTCGAAGCATGGCTTCGCGGGCACAACCTCTTGGCTTCCTGTTTTGACGCCTATGACTGTTGTTGTTGATGCTGTTGCTGTTGCCGTGGTTGTTCTTATTGTTGTTGCTGTTGCTGTAACCTCTCCAGGCCTGGTCCTTTCATCCTTCCAGAGTGCTGCCCACAGGGCCGATCCAACGGCTCTTAACTGCACAGTCTGGCAGGTGACCAGGTTCATAATCAAGCGACAAGCGGGTGTATCAGGCTGTAGAGCAGCTGTGACCATGACAAGCTTGCGTTCTAGCAGATTCAGGCAGAATGAGTCTTTGCGGTGGGTGCCCTTGCCTTGTCAATCCCAGCTAGACTTACAGGCCTCTCGAAATTCAATTCCAACCCCCTGAAAGTTTTCGAAGTCATATTATCAGGTACCCCGGACCTGAAAAAGAATCCCTAGATTGGAGCAGAGACTGAGCAAAGACGTTGTTGTCTTTAGGCATTGTGACTACCACGAGAATGCTTTGAAGCAGGTTGCCAACTGCAGACAAGCGACGCGCTGGTAATTGTCCGGAATCTCTCCTGACCTGCTGTGTCCCAAATCTGGAGCTTGATCGTCCTCATTCATGCTTCAGCACAACCAGCTGCCGTGATTGGCAAAACTTGAGTACAAAGGATTCTCGGCCTGTGCCGAGTTGCGCCTGCTCTAGTTATTCTAGTTCAGTCTTGTTGACAGCGGAAAGCTGCGGGAAATGTCTAGCAGTTCGATGCATTTCGCTTGTGGAAATCGCTCTTTGGAGGTCACAGTCAATGCTTCCTCCACTTGTCTTGTGGGCTCCAGGAGGAAACTGCAGGTTTCACAAGCCAGTGCGTGCAAGATTCTTCTTGTCTACAGGAATCGTCTTGAACCTGAAGTCGACACCAATTGTTGTGATGTAGCCTCGGGCTCATGCATGTTGCGAGATCATGGACAGGAGCACCAACGAGGAAGAGCAGCTATCAGTAAAGGCATCGTCCGCGAAGCGAAGCAAAAGGCAGGATTTGCCAGCGCCTGAATCACCAATAAGCACCTGCAATTGCATGCGCAACATTGCAGGCTTGACTCACCCTCTCTCCGAGTCAAAAGGTTACACATGCAATGCGGCAGACCTTTGGGCAATGAACGCCTATTGCATCCCAGTCCTACACACAGGTCAACTGTCAACCAATCTGTCTTCTCAATGCTTGGTGTCGACATTTGCCACAAAAAATGACACATTCGCGCAGTGTTTGGGAGTAGTGGGAGACAACACATATAGAAAAAACAACATCACATCGGCTGCAGCGATAGCACGATTTGTTTTCTGCAAGTGTGCACAGTCACTAGGTTGCCTTCCACCGCAGTAAGCAAGCCTCTACCAAAGCCCCGGAGCACCAATGCGACAGATGAACAAGAAGGCGATGTTCAGGACATGCCCGGGATCGTGACACTTAAGGCAGGCAGGTATCCGAAAGCCATGGTCCAGCAAGGCATCCGCCGGCAGGCATGCAAGACTTGCTAAGACACCATACAGCCCGGTACCACGTCATCCAATCCACTATACCGACCATGAAAACCACAACAACCATCCTCGGTAAGACTGCACATCAACAAGTATGTGGCAGCCACCAGAACCTGGTAAGCCGAAACCGCTTTACAACCTCAACATACAGGCATCATGCCTAGCGAAGTCCAAAAATGGGCACAACTTCTGAAACGCTTGTCACAACAAGTTGGAACTCGTCGAAGGTACAGCGCAGGCGTCGAGAGTTACATACTTGACATTGGCAGTTTAACAATTTGGTCAATGTCATTTTTGAAAGGCACCTGTTGAATTCTGCTCCCTCATAGCCCGCTATAATGGATTGCAGAGCGAGTATCAGCAAAAGCTTAGGATTCCTCGGCGTATGAAGGTGATTCCACCTGTTCGCATCTGCCAGGATTTGATTGAAGTGAGCTAAACGGAGAGTTTAGCAGTAATCGCTTTCTATACTTAATGTGTGCGCGCGCTTCCAAGATGTCTCCGACAGTCAATGACTGTCTCGACTAGTGTTGGAGTGCTGGCCAACTCAAGCGGAAAGTTTTATGTTGGAACACCCAACGGCCAGTCAGAGTGCCATGTCTGAAGATTCGCCTGCTTGACCAAACCCTTTGCACGTGCCACAAAGGAACGTCACGTGGCCACAGGTACTGTCCAATTGCCGCACGCCAGAGATTGTTTAAGGGCTTTGCGATTCTGTGGCTGTGCACAGGGTTAGAAAACTGAGAGCAATGTAGTTGACCTGAGAAACTGCTAACCTTGGCGATGGCTGTTGAACCGCCGTGAGATAAACTTTGGCACCGTCTGTGGAAAGGTTACAGACGTTGCAGCCCAGACCGAAAATGAAAACCGTAAAGTGACGTGCTTTAGTCATAAACCTTGCCACAGGCCAAAGCTGTCTTGAGCAGCGAATGATCGGGACTTCGAGGGCCGGCTTTGTCAATCTCAGGAAACGGTACGATCCTGGGAGAGTTTGATGGCATGGCTGGCTCCTTCAAGTCACCGAATAATTCACAAAGGCAACCCTGAATCGGAAGCCTCGTGCACAGACGTCACGAGCTAATCCGAAGCACAAAACAACACCAGGCAATTTTCAAACTCGAAAACTCAGTTTCCAATGAAGTCAACGAATTCCGCAGGAACGAAACCCGGAGTTGAGCAGTGCATCCAGCAAGAACAGCAGCTGTCCGCCAGAGCCCCATCTCTAAAGCACAACATGTGTCAATTCCCCTCTAACCCTGCCCCGCACTCTTCGTCATCATCAACAGATCACCATCGTCATCGCGGACAATAGCACGGGCAACAGCAGTGGCATAAACATCAGCATCTTCGACATGACCTTGCCACGAAAACAGTCTTTCTGAAAAACGCAAGACATTTGGGAAAATACCGTCAGTTTCGAAAAAACTGACAGTTTCGGCCTGTCAAACGACGAACACAAAAACTCAGCAGACCGTCGATCCCTCTGCCGCGAGCATGCTAGGTTACGAAGATCTGAGACAGAAAGTGCGGTAGTTCGCCTTAAAATGGAATGACGACCTCCCCTGCCCGCCCCGCGGAACCGGGGTGTTTTGAATTTTGAAAGTGGCACGCATTCCATGCGGCGAAAGTCGTGCAAGACTGAAGCTTCAAGAGGATGGAGAAACGAAAAACATGTTGGCAGCAGGCACCATTTACCTTGCAGTAACCTGCAAACGAAAAACACCCGTCAATTCAGAAACACAGCACCAGACCATCCGCACCCAAAACATGCAGGGGGGCAAACATGAAACCTCTGATCACGTCAACCCCTGCATGGTTGCAGGTTGCTTGCGCATATCGCCGCCGAATGAAACAACCTTCTCTTTCAAGAGTTAGAGAGTGTGGAACCCCACAGTTCCGAGGCAGTGATTTGGCTGATGTAGCGTGCTGCGGACAACTCTGAGGCCTCTCACAAAACTTACCGTTAGCATTGCCAACATTGTTCCGAAGCTATGCACTTTGTTGCGGTCCGGGCGCCAGCTTGAATAGATGGTCGTAGTCACGTTTCATCCTGCCACAACATGTGAAACCAGCCAGCAACGATGTGACGGTGAGGAGCTGTCGTAAAAGTTGCAGGAGGACAGATTGGATCTACAAGTTTTGACCTTGTTCCCAGTCGTCCTGCAATCGTCAACTATCCTTCTCTGGAATGGCCCTTGGCCCAACTTGACTTGGGCCGAGGACAGGCACAGTTCAACGGAAGCGTTCTAATTCGTGTCTGCTTGATCTGCTCTCCGATATGCCGTGGGGCGACAGCAACTGGTGCACTGTGACCAGAAACTGATGGCCAACGGAGCTCTTGTTTCCACCGCTGCATTGCAGCCGGTTAACTGTACACTTGTCCCGAGTGCCATTGCACGTTACCCCAAGTCATGGAGCCCCGCTTCTTACAACAACAGCACTGTCACGTGGTTGGGGGGAAAAGCTTTCTGAACTTTCGTGACTCGGCGTGCAGTGGCACATCGGATCCGGGACTTATTGGCGATACTCTTTGAAGTCGCCGCCCGCTGAAGCTTCCGACAGGTTAATGATCACAAAGCATTTGAGCCTGCACTGACAAACAGCTTTCATAGCAGTGATACTACCTTCCACCTGCTTTGTCCCGCACGACGTTCACAACTACATCTCGCACAAATGGGCAGAAAAGGATATGGCCGGCTCACTGTTCCAGTGTTCCGCAGAAGGCCACGGCATCGTCAGACCTGTCTGAAGCAGCACGAGTACAAAGGGGCATCCCGACAAGAAGCGAAAGTGAGGTATAGGCCAGTTTAGCAGGATTGAACTCACCATCACCAACACGTGCCTCGTACTCACTCCTCCAAGACGAAGTAGCTGCCTGCCTGCTTTTGCTCACGGTCCTGCAACGAGGTCGCAGGGCTTGCAGCTGGCCCGTGAGCGTTGTTTTTGCCGGCTGAAGCTGGGTCGGTTCAGACGGGCCTTCTGCTTTGCTGTGCATGTCAATGATGGTCTGCTAGGGATTTAAAGCTTAGGAGTCCATTCCCTTGATCTGCCTGATGTCACAGACCTGCCTAAAGAAAGCATTGTGCATTCCAGGAGGCCTTCACAGACTCCGCTTTGTTGATTCGAGGACGGAAATTGGTCGGATCTCTTCCTGGCACGTGGCAAACAGTAGGTTTCAAATGGTCCCCCTGAGCTCTGTGAATTTTCGCCGAGGGACGGAAGGTGATCTCCAGCTGCGCCAAGAACTTGTTCATGCCCTTCCCAGGAGCAAGATGAGGTGCTTAAGCATCACTAGAAAAAAGATCGATCATTAGTTTAGGAAGCGCATAGATGCGCTTGTTTAAGTTCGGATTCCGAAACGAAGTGGCACGTTAAATGTCGTGCGGAAGCACTGAAACGTGAGCCCGCTTGAACCTTTGCTGCTGCGATGTTCCGATGCTGTGGCCAGGCCAAAATGGATTCTGGCACTTGGATAAACAATGAGTCTCCACAAAAAAAACCCTGCTATGCTGCTACCCACCTGTGCGTGTGCATCGGGGATTTTTTTGGGAAGATCTGCAAACTCAACATAGTTGAGAGCACTACCCGATACCATCCAAGCGTCATCGCCAGCGTAAGTCCCAAGTCCCAAGCGCAAGAAGCATCTGAATGCCTAAACGGGGTGCTGCACTGGCCAGGTGTCATCGAAACTCATAATGAGCTGGGAGCTCAGAGTCAAAAGAAGCACACACCGGAGAAGCAAGACGCCCGAACACACACACACACACACACACACACACCCGCGCGCGCGCTCGCGCGCGACCGAAAGCACGCACGCACACGCACACTCGCGCACATGCGCTCATGCGCCCACACACGCACGCGCAGACCCACATGCGCATGCACACTCACTCTCACACTCAAATGCCTTTAAATTGCATTTGCACGCAAATCCCGAGCTGCGAGTGACAACTCTAAACTTGCATACGACGCCTCAAGCAGCGACATTGGAGCCGAGGCCACGCAATGGATGCCCGGCCTGATAATGAAAGGCAACCTCGCCTACAGATCCACCTGCTAAAGGGAACCCAGGTCCACTACCTCCCATCATAAACAATGACGCGGTCCGCAAGATACCTGATGTGTGATCATGCACGAATCTTGTGGAGTTCCCCGGACAGGACAGATGATCAAGAATCAAGGAGGGCCCACGTCGCCATAATGAAATCATGTTCGACAATGAAGGCAGTCTTCTTGGCGTGCAGGATAAACCTGTCACCCCGACTTAGTCTGCACCGAGAGCAATCAAACAATCAGATCTGAGCCTTTTCATCACACGGGCTGCAACCACACGCTGCTCCACATCCAGGTACGCCGAGGGCTCGTCGATCAGATAAATGTCAGCCTCAGCTAGTCCGTCTCCCGGCTGGACTGCTTTCTTGTTCCAGGCAGCGATCATAAGAGGGCGACAAAACCAATGTAACACAGCACAGCACCAGAAGCCGTGATCGCAACACGTAACAGCACGAAGTGAATGATTCCGGATGGAGACAAGAGTTTAACTCTCAGTAGTCGGGCATCTGCGTAGACTACGCATCTGAAAAAACTGTCTCTGGCACCGCCGATCTTTCGACAACTTCTGGCCTCTGCAATGCTCATTCCGAACAAAACAGCAGCCCTCGCGACGAGGCACACCATTGCTTGAAACAACACAGCCTGTATTTTTGCAATATCGATTTGGAGCGCGCAGGTGCATTCGTTTGGTTCCCTTCCCTGCCAACGAACGCAGCTGCACAAACGAAAAAAGGCAACGTCGACTCTAACCAATGGGTGTAGCAGCAAAACCCCAAACCACAGAACGAATGGGTGACAGATGACAGGTCCTGCGGATCTTTTTCCGAATTCATACCGACAAAAGTGGAAAGGGATTAGGCGTTGCCAGCCCAAAACTACAACAGACTTCACAACCGCGCACCTGGAAAGGGGACATTGTGGCACTGGCAAATGAACCCCCAAATGTGAGCTAACCAGCAATTTCTGGACCTGAAAATGAGCCGAGAGGGGAAACCGAGATGAAAAAACACAATAGGCGGATGAAGATCGACGGAAACCTAACACATAGCACAGCTTGGAGGGATCGACGTATTCGACGTGCAGACCCCGAAAAATCGTGATGGGTACCGACAAGTTTATCTGCTCAGTGTCATTTCCGGGTGCAGCGTTTTCAACTTCCTACTTTTGTTAGGTTGAGGTTTGCGCTTCTTTTGGGTTTGCACGTGCAGTCTGGGTTTACGGCTTGCCTGTCATCGCACTTTTAGGCTTGATTTAGGGTTTGCCGCTCCCCATTTCAGTTCGGTTTGAGTGAAGACTTGTTTGGGTCCTCCGCTGCACAATTCGTGTTTAGCTTGCAACTCCTCACACTTTCAGGGTTAAGGGTTTGCTTTCAGATTTCAGGTTTCGACTTGTTTCTTGGGCTTTTTCGCTTCTTAACTTGGGTTTGCAGCTGTTGGGTTCAGGTGTAGACTTTTTCGGTGTTTGCCGCTTCACAGTGTGGGTTTACGTCTTGCCGCTCATCACACTTTTACGGTGTCGGGCTAGGGTTGGTTGGCCACTTCCTAAGTTGGTCAGGTTTGTTCAGATTTAATGTGTTTTGTGCTGTTTAGCTTGGGTGTACGGCTTGCAGCTCACCACAATTACAGTAAGGCAGGCCCTGAAGCGGTTGAAGGCCACTTCTCGCTTGTGTTGTGTTGGGTTCATTTCGTTGGAGTATGCTGCGAGTCGCAACACTGAAAGCCAGAAGCTTCAAGGCATGCAGACTTCACAGGCCACAACAGATGACTCTAATGGCTAAGCTAACACTCTGAGAGAAGGTTTCGCCACTCTCAGCGTTTCTACTGGGGGTTTGCCACGGCTACACGCTTCTTGTCTCCCCCCGGTCTGTTGGACTCTGACAATTCGTCATGTTTTTTGTTTCAGGGCTTGTCATACTCGTTTTGGCATTTGGGAACTCCTACACCTTGTGCTCTTGTAGCTTTTGAGCCAAGACCCACTACGTTGATGGTGACGGATCGACGCCGTTTCGGTTCAGGGTTCGGTCGTCTAGGTTTAAGTGTTTGCAGTCCTCCACTCTTTTCTGGAGTTCAGGGTTAGCCAGTCGGAGGTTGATTCAAGGTTTTGGCCTTCCACATCTCGTGCATTTCACGCTTTGGAGTTTGTAACTCGGCTTTCCACTGCCTAGGCTCGGGCTTGGGGTTTGGCGCTCCACTCAAGCCTAAAAATGCTGCAAGTGGCAGGCAGCAAATCCAAGCTGCGAAAGGGCAAACACGAAAGCATGTGGAAAACTGAACCTAACAAAGGCGGGCAAGAGCAAACCCAGACCCTAAAAGTGTGGTGAATGGGGGGCCGTAAAAACACTTTTCGAGCGGCCAGCACCAAAAAAATTCTGGTCTTGAACCTAGGGACGTGGGAAACCCTGCGAACCAAAGATGCAGTAAGCGGATGTCAGCGGCAAGCCGAACCCAAACTGTGAAGCGGTATCGGAAACACTGAGAAAATCTTCACGTCAATCTAACCGAACTGAATAGCAAACCCGAGCCCTCAAACTGTGGCGCGGGTGAGAAGTCCGCCGAGGCCAAAGGCCTCCGGCGTCTTGATGGTTAATACTAACCAACACTCTACCTAATCCTTCTCCTTGCAAACGCAAACTTCCACCCGCCTTTAGCGCCCCCTTGCCCGCCCCCCCCCCCCGGCCCCCACCCCTTGGCCCCCCCCCTCCCCTGGCCTGCCCCCGATCCCCCTACCGTTCCTTCCAGCCACTTCCTTCTTCTTTTCTTCATCTTTTGTTACTTCTATTTTCCCGCTGCTTCCCATCTCCCACCCTTCCTTCCTGTCCTTTGCTCGCGTGTTTTTTCCATTGCTTACTTCCCGGCCCACTTCTCTTGACTTGTTTTTTGTTCTTTCTTCTTCCCCCCCGCTCCCCTGGCCGCCCGCCCCCGGGCCAGCCCTCCACCGTCCCTTCCAAGCCACTTCCTTCTTCTTTCTCCATCTTTTGTTACTTCTATTTTCCCGCTGCTTCCCACCCTTCCTTCCTGTCCTTCCCTCGCGTATTTTTTCGATTGCTTACTTCCCGGCCCACTTCTCTTGACTTGCTTTTTGTTCTACCCTGTCCTCTCTTCTTCCAAGCGATCCTTCTTCCTCTTCCACGTTCTTGCCTTTTTCTCGCTGCTTTCCAGCCCCAAGCTCCCTCCTTCCCCTTGCTCCTGTTCCTTCTGCCCCACTTCCTTCTTTTCTTTGTCCATCTTTTACCACTTGTCCATCTTCCCCCGCCACTTTTCCATCTTCGCGCCTTTTCCATCTTCCCGCTCCTTTCGCTCGCGTGTTTTTTCCATTGCTCTTCCCCTTCGGTTCTCCTTTCCCCTTCCTGCCCTGGGCGCCTCTGCTGGCACTACTGAGCCGCAAGCCGTTGCGGGCCGCGTAGCATTAGAATTATAAACGAAACTGTGAGTTGCAAGCCGTAAACCTAAGCCTTGACCTGAAGAAACGTCTCAAGCTGAATCAGAGAAAGAAGGCAAGTAGCAAACCCTGAACCTTAAGAGTGTGCTGCCTAGAAAGTTGTGAACCCAAAGTGAAAAGCGGAAAACGCGAAAAACTGCCAAACCTGAAACTACGAGGAACAGAAGTGAGCAGTGACAATCCCGACGTAAACCCTCAAAGTGCGGAGTGTGGGAAGGTGTAAACCAAAATGTGAAACACAAACCTACCCAAAAAAACCAAACCTGAATCTAAAACACCGGGAAGTGGCAAACCCCCAACGCAGAGCGGAACATGCAACCATAGTCTGATTCTGAACCGAACAGAAGTGGGATGCGGCAACCCTCAACTCCAAAAGTATGCCGCGGAAAACCTCAAGAATCGACTTCTGATTCTGAACCTTGCAGAAGTGATAAGTGAACAAGCTTTCAACCCCAATAGTGCTGTGAGTAGCAAACCGCAAGAAGCCAAAAACGAGTCCAAACTTGAATTTCACAGAAGTGGCAACATGGCAAAACCTAAATAAACCCTTGCTGAAACCTTTAAGCTGTGTGCCAGTGGCAGGTGACCCGAGAAACGAAAAGAAGCAACTTAAATGAAAATAAACCTCACAACCATAGGAAATTGCAAACACTTAACCCTAAGAAGCAGGGCAAGTGGCAAGCCGCAAACCGAAACCGTTAACCGGGAAACTCCCCACAGCAATCTAAACCGGAACCGACAAAACTAGGAGGTGAGAAACATC